TGATTAAAATGCAGTTGTTGACTCTAGTTTTAAATGGAAAGAGCACATACAAAGCCTTAGTTTGTTTATATGAAGATATTTTTTTTTTTGATTTGGGGCTTGTTTTAAAATTTCAATTTAGTTTTGTTATTTACATTATATTTAAATTTTGACATTTAGCAGACACTTTTATCCAAAGTGACTAATGAGGAAAATAGAAGCAATCAAAACCAACAAAAGAGCAATAATACGCAAGTGCTACATTAGTATATTATAGTGTTATATTTCAGTTTGACAAAGAAATGTGCAACATTTTGTCCAAGCAATAATAAAATGACACATTTAATTTGCAATAATCGAATCGTGAGTTGAGTGAATCGTTACATCCCTAAAAATAATGTATTATATTATATTATATTATTTTGTTGAATTATGGAAGAGCCAAATCAAACAATCCGATCTGGTGTCAAACGAGAGTTTGCACACAAGACTGACCTGAACTTTGGGAGCCGCTGCTCTGAACTTCACATAGTAGAGCGTGAAGGCGTTGTCTGCGTTCGGAGCGCCCAGCAGGTCCTGCTCGGGTCATATTCAATAAATAAATGAACAGGAACCGATACAATCATGTGTGATCTAATCATACTGTTTACTAAGCGTACCCTTTTGCTCAGCTGAGCCGTGAGGTTCTGCAGGGTGCTGACCGTGTGGCTCTTGATGAGGAGCATGGCTTTGGAAAGACACTGCTTGAATTTGGTCAGATAGACTGGGTAGTCTTTAAAATGTGGCTGAAAGAAAGGAACATTAAGAGGAATGTGCATGTGTGGAAGACTGAAACATTCTATTGGAACATAGGAGGAGAATATTGCAACATTGTACGAATTGTTTCACTCACATGTGATAAAACGTATTCTACGCATTCGTCTAATTTGGAAAGCATCGGGATGAATCCCTCACTGTTCACCGATAGTGTCGGGGAGTTCAGTTTCTGCAGGAGGGATAAAACAGATTAATAAACAGACAATAAATGCATGACAAATCCAGTCTGGAAACAGCAGCAAAGCATTACCGAGTTTATGTTTTCCAGTGCATTAAAATATGAGAGTTTCTCTTGAATGCTCTCAGCCAGATCCACCAGCTCTGACTGTCGACAGAAGAGAGAGAAGACAAATATACATAATTTATCAAATCAATGTGCGTGTGAACATTACATACACCCACCAGTCAAAAGTTTGGGAAAAAAATTAAGATGTTTTAATGCTTTTGAGTCTCTTCTGCTCATCAAAGCTGTATTTATTTGATCAAATAACCTGTAAAAATAGTGAAATATTATTGTAATTTAAAATAACTGTTTTCTATGTGAATATATATTAAACTGTAATTTATTTCTGTGATGCAGCGCTGTATTTTCAGCATCATTACTCCAGTCTTCAGTGTCACATGATCTTCAGAAATCATTCTAATATGCTGATTTGCTGCTCAAGAAACATTTCTGATTATTATCAGTGTTGAAAACAGTTATTTTTGTTGAAACTGTGATACATTTTATTTTTCAGAATTCTTTGATGAATAGAAAGTTCAAAAGAACAGCATTTATTTGAAATAGAAATCTTTTGTTACATTATAAATGCATTTACTGGCACTTTTGATCAACTAAATACTTTCCCCGAACTTTTGAAAGATAGAATATATCACGGTTTCCACAAAAATATTGGGCAGCTCAACTGTTGATAATAATCAGAAATGTTTCTCGAGCAGCAAATCAGCATATTAGAATGATTTCTGAAGATCATGTGACACTGAAGACTGGAGTAATGATGCTGAAAATACAGCTTTGATCACAGAAATAAATTACATTTTACATTATATTGACACAAAAAACACTTATTTTAAATCATAATAATATTTCACAATTTTTACTGTATTTTTAATCAAATAAATGCAGCCCTGAGTGAGCAGAAGAGACTTCTTTCAAACACATTAAAGAATCGTAATAGTATAGTGTGTATAATATGCGCAGTTAAGAAGCTTTGTGAGTGAGGGCACATCAGACCTGCTCCTTCAGCAGTTGTTCACAGGCCTCATGAAGCGTTCCTGTTTTTGTCGACACAAAGAGGTACTGCTTCTGCAGAGACTGCAAACGCTCCAGCGCAGCGTTCACGTCGCTCAGTATGGCGTCGCACTGCTCCTGATAGCCCTGCAGAGCATCTCGAGTCCTCCTGCGCAGTAAAACACAATTCATCTGATCAAACATCAGCCTTCATGTCAGTATGGCCTTTGTTATAAACACCCATTGACAGGTTAAAATTAGAATTCTTAAAGGGGTCATCGGATGCCCATTTTCCACAAGTTGATATGATTCTTTAGGGACTTAATCAAAAGTCTGTAACATAGTCTCAATGGTAGTGTAAAAAACACTTTTTTACCCAGTCAAAAACAGCTCTGCACACAGCAAGCCGTTTTAGTGCTTGTTCCTTTAAATGTTAATGAGCTCTGCTGACTCCCCCCCTCTCTTCCGAGCCGCTCTCTGAGGGACTGTTTACTTTAGCCGCATTCATTAGTACATTATTAGGAAAGGCGATTTGCAAAGATCCATTTAAAAACCTTATACTCACTTCTTCTGTAGGTGAAGCTGGATCACGAATGATTCGCGTGAACATAAACGCATTTATGTAGATCGGGGCGCATTCCCTTCAGAAACAAACATAATCCACTGCGTCTTCAGCGGCTCAGATGTCGGGAGTAACATCCAACAACTGAACACCTCAATCGCTCAGGAGTCATTCTTGTCTACATCTGCTC